TGACCTTCCCCTGGACCCAAGGGTGTGCCATGCAAATTTTGGCTGCTTTAGCTCTTACAGGGACTGAATGCATAGAGAACAAACAAACATACAAACAAACTTTCTTCTTTATATATATAGATAGATAGAAGAAGTTAACATATGGAGTCGAAATAGATTTGGCTGGAGTTACTTTGCAGACGAGTTGAAGAAAAATCTTTATCACAAGTTACTGGTAAGCATTAATTCAAAAATATCTCTGCTCAGTTTCCAGAGTTCTTTTCCGATACCGAGATAGGAGGCATTGTTTCCCCAAAATTGGCTCTTAATTATTGCTTCAAAGGTAAGATTTTTTGGTAAAATTGATTACTTAGGCAGCTGTAACTTTGTACTTAAATTCTCTGGCCGTTGTAATTTTATAAAAACGTCGTCCATGGATGGGGAGAGCGCGCAAATTTTCCAAATTTTGGACTTTTTCCATTTTTAACCATGTCGGACTTCTGATTTTTTCACGTTTTCTACCAATGAAAAGTAAGCTCGCACCTGGCAACATGTCTCTATACTGTACTCGAGCGACTTATGATTATTTTATTCATAAAGGTATGATTATAAGTAGTCGGCAGAAAAGGTAGTTATTTTATGGATAACGCCGCCTATCTCGGTAACGGAAAAGACCTGAGCAGAGATATTTTTGAATTAGTCATGTCCTTATGCTTATACGTAACTTGAAAAAAAGAGTTTTCTTCAACTCGTCTGCAAAATAACTCCAGCCAAATCTATTTCGACTCGATATGATTCACTTTTGCTTGGGATAGAAAATCTAAGTTTTGATGAAACTTCATGAAAACTGAATGTCTCATTGCGAAGACAGAGTAATGACTTAAACCCTCGCCCAAATGTGAAGAGGAAAGCTTTCATATTAACAGAACAGAAGTTAGACACGGTTGAGTGGACATTATTCAGCGTTTTTCTTCTTTTTTTCACGTGTAACACATTCAACCAACCAAACAGAACCCGACTGCAGACGATAAACTATGCATAGTTCTTCTATATCTGCTCTCTCCCAGTATATTCTCAGCTTGAACAACGACGAATCTCGATATTCATGTTCCGCTGACCAAGAATCTGAGCAAATCAAACAAGACATCAATATAATGTGTGAGATGGTCGTCGAACGCTTAAAAGAAACCCATACATTATTTTTCGATGCTAAGCTGCTGAAAGGAGGACTTGCAGGAGGACTGCATGAACAGTTAAAAATCGGCCGGGCAGATGAATTTGATTTTATGATTGAAACACCACTACTCGCTGATAAACGTTATCTTTCACTCACAATATCAAAAACTACCGGACAGATCCATTATCATTTCACTGATGATTTTAGACTACTGTTCGACAATCTATCTGATGATCTGATGAATGAAGTGTGGATTGAAGATGCTGTATGGTTCTATTTGAAACGTACATGTCTAAAAGTATTTGAAGATCTATTTCAACAATATATGCGACCAAATTGGTCACTGATAAGTAAGGGACACCATGGAATGGGAACACCAGTAGCAATCACAATTTACCTAAAATGGTGTGGGAAATTAGAGATCGGTATTGATTTTGTACTGGCAATTCCCACTCGACTTCGTCCCTTGCCGCTCATAAAAATGGCTAAACACAAAGAGTTATTTACTGAACTTGTAATCAAAGAGAGTGAACTCCATTACCTGCTCACTGGCAGAGATACTTGTCGATTATCATGTGGTGAACTTGAACATAAACTTCTCTCAAACTATGGCATTAACTCTGGACAAAAAGTGTGTCTGAGAGCAGCAAAATTTCTTCTATCGAAATTCGTATTAAAACAATGTCCAATAATAGACGATGTTCCTGGATGGGAATCGACGATCGATTCGGAAGCGTGTTCCTATTGGATAAAGACAATTAGTTTTACCTTATTTGAAAAATATCCATCGGATGAGGATTGGGAAAAACCTTATTACGGTCAACGTCTACTTGAATTATTCCAATTGTTACACAGTGCCGTAGAAAATTGCGAACTTTATAATTATTTTATACCCAGTTGTAATCTTTTTAGTCAATTGGTGACTCGACCTGAAGTTGTACAGTTATTGAATAATCAATTGTCGGTATTAATTGAACATTTACAAATGCTTGAAAGCAACAAGGCGGAAGAACATCAAGCATTTGAGAAGCTCGAACAATTGGCTAATCGACGAGAATGGGAAGCAAAAAACTTGTATTTGACCATGACCGCAAAAGATGAACTGTATGTTATGTTACATAATTATGCACTGGATGCTTATAATCCTGTATGGTACACGAGAATACAAAATTTTATGCGTGAACATTTGCCTAATATGCGTCTGAATGGTAAAGGATGTCAATGCACATTGTACGGTGAACGTGGCGAAAAGATTAATATTAATCAGCATCTTGTACCGCTTATGGGAGAGAATGAAAGCATGAATTATTTTGAATTGCAATCAGCGGACCGACGGTCAACAATTATTGGATCTTTAACTTGTATTAGTATTGGAGTACTCATCTGGGTTTGGCACTGGGAACGTTTTTTCTGATTCTTTTTTTCACTTTTCTCTTAAAGTTTAGAAAAGAGACAAGCAAAATTTCTTGGCGCCTTAATTGTGCGCGATTCGTTTTCTTTTGTATCTTTTGTAAATGGATGGGAAACAGGAAAACAAGTGAACAAGAGTTGATGCATTTATCTGTTTCTATTATGAAAATGATGCGGTTGAAATCTAAATATTATCAGGCGTAGTAGGGGAGGTCGTTTTGTTGCTGAAGAGCTAACACTATCGATACGTAATTTTGATGGTGTGCATGGGTGAGGATTCGTCGCGCACTTGTGGAGCTGATGATTGTTTGAGTTTTCTGTTTTCTAGTTCTAATGTGCGTACTGTCTCTCACAAGGATTGGTTTTCATCTTTTATTAGTTTTTGTATTCGAGCGTCGACAGTTTTGACCTTCATCTTTTTGTAAACCGTGTTTGACTGTTGATGCTGGTACTACCGAAGACGGATTTTCTAACTCTTTTGGTTTCTTACGCCGATTTACTAACTAATAGCCTCATATCAGTCACTGTTCGAGAGAAAGTCGTCAGCACTTCTCCGAATACTGGGTAAGTCTTGTACTATCGGCGTGAAAATAGAGTGCAGGTTGCCATTTTTTTAATAACTCAATATTAGCGGAAGATAGAACGTTGCGGTTTGTGTGACCGTCAACAAACGGTGAGCGATCGAAGCTAGACACCTGAGGCTGGCTTTCCACAAGCACCAACGGTTGTTAAAATCATTTCTGAAGCCGATTTTTCAGCGGATCTGTGAAAAACCAGTTTGGATCTCTGAAAATGGACATTGAAACAGGTTACTTTTTTCCATAGATATACAGTTCCCAATAACCTCTACAAAACTGGATCTAAGCAGCATCTCAGAAATCTATGGTTCGGCTATGGATATTTTTCCCAAGGCCTTAGGACGCCTCTGTCGTTAGGTTGTGACTGTGAGAAATGAATGAAAACATAGGTTATCGACTATGTTAAATCTCGTATATTCATAATACAGTCAAAATCCATCCATCCTACTTCAGAATGTCAGGAAATACTCTATTTTATCTTCAGCATACCGTGAGATCCAATAAATGTTGAAAAAATTGGACATTTCTTTCTTAAAAATCTCACGGGACATTTTTGTGTATTTTTAAATTTCTCCTCGATGATGCAATACTTCAGATTCATTTTTGACCGAATATCAAATCCCATGAGATCAAAAATGATTAAAGTTTGATCTTGATCGGAATAGTATTTATCGAGATATCGAAAAGACAAAAACTGAAAATCTCACTGGACATTTTGCGGATGAAGGGATTTCTAACAATATAATAGAACTTCCTGTACAAAGAAAGTACTTTTCAAATTATATTTTCTCATCATTTTGTTACGCACTCAAAGCTGTATCGATTCTAAGGTTAAGAAAATTCAAAAGTCGAGCGCTTTTTATTTTTGCAATGTTTAAAATGATGGGATAGCGTTAGACAAGCTGAACAAGAATATGTATGTTTTAACGTTACGAAAAAATCTTCTGAGGGTGAAAATTTGAAAAAAGTGAAATATTTACGAGAGCTTTTGCGAGCTCAGTGAGAAATGGCGTAACCCGAAATCTTTTAACCTATGTTTTTTATTTCATATTCGGATTCTATGCTTCAAACTAAGGTTATGAAAAAATGTTTAGAACTTATTTTGGCTGAGTTATAGAATTTTCAAAATGAGGTGTAGCAGAGTTTTGTGA